AATGCTTTTGTCTTGACTCCATTAGGGATACCGGTAGTTTTAAGAAACTGAAACAAGTAGTGTTTCACATCAGCCGTGCGGTCCGGCACTCAGTGTGTGCCGGTGCTTTGCTCTGGCTCATTACTACACGCCGGAACGCTGCAAAGAGAGGAGGGAAGCTTGTGGTACTTTAGGGACATCATCCGTGCAGTCCGGCGTGTAGTAATGTAGCCGGCGCTTTGCTCTGACACACTGAGTGCCGGACTGCGCGGGCGATGTTACTAAAGACTGCAGACAGAGGAGGCATGGTTTAAGTGCCACCCATGGGAGGAGGAGGTGGGGAGCGTGCGGTTGCAGCCCTGGTTACAGCCCTGGCTCAAATGAAGGCTCCACTCTCCCAGCCCTGCCACTTGAGGTGAGAAGCCGCAGGGCTTATTCAGGGGCTTATACACGCATATTGGCCTATAACACACAGCTAGGATTTCAGCCCCAAATTTTAGGGAAAAAAGGGTGTGTTATACGCCGGTAAGTACAGTAATTTTTGGGCCCATGAGCTCCAACAAAATAGGTATGCGCTGACTAGATTATCCTCTGCCTCACAGAGGTTGGACCCCTGGCCATCCTAGCTGTTGGAAGTAAGTGCAGCAGTGCCCATATGGATCTGTGAGATTGTCAATTGCTCCTTATCGGAGGGACCGCTCATGGCTGCCTTGAAGGAGACCACAGTGTGCCATTTGCTGAGGAAGTTGTCTCTTGATCCTGTGGTCTTGGATAATTATCTTCTGATCTCCAACTTTCCCTTTTTGGAGAAAGTTGTGAGATGGTGGCAGTGGATCAAATACTCTAGGGGACTCTATAGGACACCCTAGAGGACATGAATTTTCTGGATCTTTTTTTGTCTGGATTCAAGCTTAAGTATGGGACTGAAGTGGCAGTTGCTCAGCTGAATGACCTATGTCAGGACCTGGATGGGGTTGTGTACACTGCTTGTCCTTTTAGACTTTTCAGACGCTTTTGTTACTAACCACCCATGGAGGTTAGGGACTGGGGGCATTGTTGTGCAGTGGTTTTGCTTCTTCCTCTGCAAATGGGAGAGGAGAGATTTGTTGAGTGCCCCTTCACTTACAGGGTCAGTCCTTGCTCCCCTCTTTTTAACATCCATATGAAACTACAGGGGATATTGTTGGGTAATTAGTATGCTGATGATTCCAAACTATACACTGCTACCCTGGGCTGTGGAGGAGATGCTGTTGATATTCCATCCCAGTGCCCAGAGGTGGTGAGTATTTGGATCGAGGACACAGGCTCAGATTGAACCCAAGCAAGATGGAGTTGCTGTTTGTACATTAGGATTCATTTTTGATGCCTGTGTTATCCATGGACAGGCAGGCACTACCTTTCCAGGAATGAGTTTGTGATTTGGAGTTCCTTCTTGACTCCCAGCTCTTACTTGAACAGCAGTGAAGGATCTGGCTAGGTGGACCTTGCCCAGCTTCAGCTGGTGCAACTATTTCATCCTTAGTTGATGCAAGAGGACCTAGTGACTGTAATTTGTGCTTTCATCAGCAGCCGCATAGACTACTGCAATGAACTTCACATGGGGCTACCTTTAAAGGCTATCTGGAAATTAGAACTAGTCCAGAAAGTGGTGGTTTGTGTCTTAACTGGTTCTTGACACTGGGAACATATTACACCTCTCTTGTGGTTCCTGCATTGGTTACTGACTCAGTTCCAAGTAGAATTTAAAGTATAACCTATAAAGCCCTCCATGGCTTGGTCCCTGGTGCCTCCAATCAGATTCAGCCTGGCTTGTTAGGTCATGGAGGGAGAAGCTTCTCGCTGACCCACATTCCCAGGATGCCCAGGGAGTTGAAGCTAGAGGGCACTACTATGGAATGGGCTCCCCAGTGAGATCAAGCTGCCCCTCCCAGGGAGCTTTTAAGAAACGATTAAGAATGGAGAATTTTTGAACATCACCTGTGCCTCTTGTTCTTATTATTTTCCCTTCTTCTTTGGTTTTGCTTTCATGATTTGGATTGTGAGTTGCTTAAATTCTGTTGTTGTTTTTATTGTGACATGGTAGCTGCTGAGAGTCAAGGATTGCTATGGGGTAAAAAAAATCAAGCAAGCAAGCAAACAAACTCATGATTAGCCAATACCGGAGGCCAGTCAAACTCTGCATTTCTTTTCTTGTCTGGGCAGCAAGATCATGACCTAGAAGTGGGAGATTTTAATACCTATTTCGGATCAATGGGTTGCTGTTTAATGGCTGTGTTCAGCCAGCTTTCTTAATTGTTCAGTTATAGTGAGTGGTTGCTGTGTTTTGTGTGCAGCTGTGAACGCTTGCCTTTTAAGGTCATCATCAAGTGACAGAAAATATTGCAGTCCAATCAGTAACAAGTTTCAGAGAGTCCAAGTAAATGTTCTCCCAGGAAAACGTGCATAGGATACCAGCCTAGCTGGATTAATAGAGTAACCGCAAGATAATAGCTCTAAAGGAAAGAAAAAGGCTTTGTGTTTTAAAGAGGTATTAATGGAAAGGCCACCTTAGGAGCGAGGGTGCCATTCTTCAAATTCTGGGAGGAGTGCCACTTTTCAGATGGTCCGTCTCAAATGCATTTTAGAACAATGACTTACTTTATTTGGAATGAGCTGCAGAACTAATCAGGGTAGTTCTCCTTGTTTGCTTTTAATTTAGCCAGCTTAAATACTACAGTCCTGCTATTTTGATATGTGACATGGAGGCTACATGCTGAGCAGCACAAATCCCCATTTTGCTTTGAACATTTGTGGGGAAACAAGCACAGGCCTACTTGAAAGGGAAGACGTTTCCTTCTCTCCATTTCGGCACCCATCAGTTCCCCTTCAGTTCAACCATGGAAGGTGCTCAAGCTTTCTACCTCCACCCTTGGTCCACCTAGGATAACCCTCAACAATCTGGTACTAATCAGATGCATTGGACTAAGATTCCCATCATGACCAAGGGCTATGAGAGTTGTAATCCAAGGCCCAAGACTGGGCAAGGCTGTTCCAGGGAAAGGAACAGCATGACAGTGGCCGTAGTTATTGTAGGTTATTACTGAAAGGTAAAGATGATTATTTATGAAATCGCATGGACATGGAGGAAACTGGAAGGAGAGTGTTCTGTCCTGAAAACTTTACATTTCATCTGTTTCCTCTGAAGAACGTCTTTTCCTGGGTAACTTTCCTCATGTTTTTCTTGTATTCCTTCAATGGGAAATGTGGAGGAGCAGAGTTTGTTATTTGTATCTCTCTTGCTTTCTCTCCTTCACAAACCCTGCTAATTGCTAAAAAGGACAGCTGTCTCCAGAGCAAAGCTGTGGGCTGGTGATGAGTCATGGAATGACCGCATGCTGTCTGATGTGACAGAGAAGCTTTCGGGGAGGGGTGGGACCTTGGCCAAAGCCTCCCACAGAAAAGATTGCTGTGGGCTTTGAAAGAGCCAGTAAAAGAAAGCTGTGTTGTTTGCAAGCACCAGAGAAAAAAGAAGAAATCTTCATCATTTGGACTGAGAAAAGAGCAGCCCTACTACTTTCCTTAGCCACTTTCTGAATAATTGGGAAGAAGTTAAGGCCATACAATCTCCAGTGGCGGATGCTTCATTTCATATGTTTATAAGGCAGGAGCATGGAATTCAGGTCAGTAGAGAAAAACGCTGCTTGGACAACCAACAACCAAGCATAACCATCAGGTGTTGTCACTGTCTTTGATGATGCAAATTTCAGTTGCTTATGTTTCTGAGTATTCAACACTCTGTGTGGGGGCAGAGAAAGGAGGAGAGCATGATCATCTGGATCCCTTCAAAGGCTACCCACCTCTGAGTAGCTGGTATGTTATAGCAATGGGCTCATATCGCCAAGACCAAGCTTCTCCAGGTAAGTGCTACAAGGGGCTTGCACTGCTCCAGACAGTTGCTCTAAAGAGTTGCATTCTCTCTGAAGTTCTTGAGGAATCCAGAGGATCATCTCAATGGTGCTAGAGGGTTAAACGGCCTCTTAAACTTTGAGTTAGAGGGTATCATTTAGGTAATGGAGTCCAATCCCTGCTCGATGCAAGAATCGTAAAGCACCATAGAGAAGTTTTGGGATTGTCTATTCAGAATTTTTAGAACTCTGGTACAAATTACCTAATATGTTTCAAAACTTAAAGCTAAACAACACTCATATCTGAAATTTCAATTTCTTATAGAGGGCTTTCTTTCTTCTTTTTTAAAAATTGAGGTTAACACATATTTCTACAGAATTATTTTAAATCTTGCTGAAAGTTCATTTTGAAGTTCATGATGAGATTTCACATGTCAAGTTCAATAGTTTTAGCACTGATGATTTCTAAAAAATAATAAATGTAATATAACTGTTAATGCTGTCAAACTTGGAATATCTGAGCTGAGATTTGGCTTTCAAATTATTCCCTCCCCACTGAAGATCTGTTTTAAATAAATTGAGGTTTCCTCAAAATAAGATTTACTTTTTATTTTATAACTGTTTCTGGGGAAAAAAAGTTGGCACACACAAACAACTCAAAAGCAAACTGGTAGTTGCACACTCCACGAGCATGAAGTGGGAAAGAACAAAAGAGAAAGGTGGGTATGCAACACCCAAACTTTAAAGGAAGCATCTTCTTTCTTTCTTTCTTTCTTTCTTTCTTTCTTTCTTTCTTTCTTTCTTTCTTTCTTTCTTTCTTTCTTTCTTTCTTTCTTTCTTTCTTTCTTTCTTTCTTC